TTACGAGTTGCGCATTAACAATTTTTTCATGTTCAAAGGCAATGGTTTGGTTGAAATACAAATTAACTTGCGTACGTTTCACATAAGATATATTTATAGCGGATGCTACGAAGACTTTTTTTTGAAGTTAGAATTACCTAGTACAGATGTGTTCGAAAGTAAGGTAAATAAATTTTGTAGGTGTGTACGAAGGTAACTAAATAATGTATACGTAGCCTAATTCACAGATGTAAATATTTGATTTGAGTTGTGGCGTCCCTTATTATCTTCACACTTTAGATGGGAGGGGGGGGGGGAGGTGGACACACCGACCCTTGTTTGTGCATTATGTACTATTTTAAAACATGTATTAGAGGACACATCCGCGCAGATTGTCGCTCGAATAGAGTGAATTTTACAATTTTTATTGACTTGGTACGTATTTATTACTATGTTTTGCACTATGGCGATATTAAGATTTGCGGTTCGACAAAACTGTTATCTAAACCTTCAGGTGCCGAATCCCGAAAAAAATTCTTGGCTGTGTTCTCAGCGTGATTGTATCCTCCGCCGGTGATGTATTTTGCGGTTCGACAGAACTGTCATCTGAACCTTCACGTGCCGAATCTCGAAGCTCTGGCGACGTTCAGGCGTGGCTGCGTTGTCGAACACTCATCACTTGTATGCTCGAAAGTGCATCTCCAGGTATACCGAGGTAGGTAACTGATTCGGACTCTCCTTCGTGCGAGTAGCAGGACTCATGGGCTTCTCACTGTACAATGGAGGGCTCATTGTTGTCACAAACGAACACATATTGCCAGAGTGCATGGCTGGCTTGTTCGGAACGGGTACCGGATTGGCGATCGACATAGATTCCATTGAATATTTTCTCACACTCACACTAGCCCTACTCAATCGAGCGAGGGACCTTAGGCTGCTGCTTGTTGCGGCAATCATATCTGCAGTATTTAATAGTATATTCAATCGATAGCTCGAGAATTTATAACTTTTGCGCTTGTTTCGAATGAAGGGGTCACTATACCTCGTGTCCTATTTATACGATTCCGCTTCAGTTGACAACACGATTGAAATAATATAATGGGTGTTTTTCATATATCATACCAACACAAGAAGATAATGCACAGTTTGTGAGCAGATAAAAAAATAATAACCACTTGTTGGGAGACTGGTAATTTCGGAGGAAGGCCCACGCGAGTGACAGCGGCCCTCTCTCTCTCTCTAGTAGTAGAGAGAGCGATAGTGTCTGAAAAATTCAATCGTCATCATATTGACCTATTGCGCCTTATGGTGCAAATCGCGTGGGAACTGATAAAAATGTGAGTTGGGCATAGGCTTGTTGAGAAATGTAGAGAGGAATCAGTGCTCTGTTTTTATTTTATTTTACTGTACTTGATTAGTTCAATACCTGTCGAAGTTTATTGCTATAGAGGGTGAGTGAAGAATCCAATGTCATTGGATACGAACTTTTATTACTCTGGAATGTGGCTTAACCTTTTATTTAAAACGGGATTTTTTTCACGCAAGAAAGTATATATTCGTGGACAAGACAGTCTGCCCACAGAGAGTCAAGCTTAAAAATACTAAAAAAACCCGTACAACGATGCTTGCAACTTTTTACAAGTATTTTTAAGAGCATATATATTTTAAATGCGACTAAAATAGAAATATCTGACCAGACTAGTAGACGTATAATTGTGCACTGGTTGTATAGATAGACGTAGACGTTTGTATTAGATTTCTTCGTGATCATTCGATGAATGCACATCGCGGACACTGGACTCGAGTTGTTTATTAGTGTTTTAAAGTAGTCAGCGTCAAATGGCACTGTGACTGTGGGGCGTGGACGTGGTTGTGTGGGTGCGACAGTTAACACAATTGGACGATTCCAACCGAATGAAGAGTATATTCCATTAGTGCTTTCGAAGCGAAAAGCCCTTCACTCTGGGATTTGCCATTTCGCCCGTTATTTACCATTTCGCCAATTGGCTTCGAAAGCCTTTTAGTGAAAAGTTTCTATCATTGAGATTTGCATTGCATCCATTAAATGGAGGCTAAAATAAGCCGAGCACCATTTCACCTGATAGCAGCTACATTTGTTGGAAAGAGTCGCACTTTCAAGTTTCATCTCCGTCCCCCAAAAAATCATTCTGGCACGGCAGCCATCCATGAAAACAATGCAAGCAAGTTGTTTAGTATTGTCACCTCAGTTGTATACTCATGCTATCCACATCGCCACATCTGAGCTGTGCGTGTGCGTAGGTGCCAATTTGTGTCTCCAGAGCGTCCACCAAGACGACTGTTTGCTCAGAGTTCATTCCTATGAGAGTTCCCTCCACAGTTTGTCTGCATAAGTTAGAACATTAAAGCTCACATTGAGTCCTTTGATAGGCTTGATAGGCATTCTTACGTATTAGTTACAGGTTGATTTGTTTTTGAAGTTTCAACACGAATGTGGAAGTAGAATAGACTTCGATCCGCCTTGAAGCAACAGAATACTCATTTAGGATTTTCAATCATGATATCGGACATTCCGGTCTTCTCCCTGTAGCACTGAATACACACGAAATACAGATTTCGATACTGTTTTGTCTCCTGATATTCATCGGCATATGTGTTATATAGATCTAATTAATCAGAGATTGCACCTCATGTTATTATAAGTACTTTGTACCCATACAATGGTGCTTCGTGTACCTTGCATATACATATTGCGGGTGATGCCTCAGAGATGCAGGCTATTGGTG